TCGCTGGAACCCTGGAGGCAGAGGCTGCAGTGAGCTGAGATTGCACCATTGCACTCCAGCCTGGGCAACAAGAGGGAAAGTCTGTCTCAAAAAAAAAAAAAAAAAAAAAAAAAGTTGAAAACACAGGGTAATAAAAAGCTAAAAACATGCCCTTTAAAAACCAACTTCCGGCCTGGCACAGTGGCTCATGCTTATAATCCCAACACTTTGGGAGGCTGAGGTGGATGGATCTCTTGAGCCAGGACTTTGAGACCAACCTGGGCAACATAGTAAGACTCTGGCTCTACTAAAAGTACAAAAGTGAGCTGGGGTAATGGTGCATGCCTGTAATCCCAGCTACTCAGGAGGCTGAGGCATGAGAATTACCTGAACTGAGGAGGCAGAGGTTATAGTGAGCTGAGGTAGCGCCATTGCACTCAGACCTGGGTGACACAGCGAGACTCTGTCTCAAAAAAATAAAATAAATATAAATAAATAAAAACCAACTTCCTGGAAATAACCACTATTTTAATGTGTGTCTTCCCAGTCTTTTTTGGGCAAAATTGAAAAAATAGTGTACCCATTGTTTTGTAATCTGCTTTTTACTTAACATATCATGAGCATTTTTCACATATCATTCAATGTGGTAACATACTTCTTAGTGGCTGTCTAATATTCCATCCTTCTGGAGGCAGCTACTAAGTTTTTAAAAGTAAAATCCATTTTCGCTGTTTTCAGAATTAGCTCTGTAAAGAAAGAGGCTAAATTTTTTTTTTTTTAAATGGTCTCTGGCCAGGTGTGGTAGCTCATGCCTGTAATCCCAGCACTTTGGGAGGCCAAGGTGGGCAGATCACTTGAGGACAGGAGTTCAAGACCAACCTGGCCAACATGGTGTAACCCCATCTTTACTAAAAATACAAAAAATAGCTGGGCATGGTGGCGGCCACCTGTAATCCCAGCTACTCAGGAGGCTGAGGCAGGAGAATCCCTGGAACCCAGGAGACAGAGGTTGCAGTAAGCTGAGATCATACGACTGCACTCCAGTCTCTCCAGCCTGGGTGACAGTGAGACTCCATCTCAAAAAAAAAAAAAAGGTCTCTTATAAGCCATTACTTATGTTCAGATTTTAAAATAGTGATTTTTTTTTTTACTTTTTCTTTATTATTATAAACAAAAGATTGACAGGATTAGGAACAGTGAATGTTTAGAATTTACCCTTTTGTAGTTTTGAACTTGGAACTTTGTAACTTTATTACATATTCACAGAATTAATAGATAAGCAAAATTTTAAAAAACAAACTTGTTGATTAAGAGCTTTACACTATTTATACAACAAAATGTCCCTTTATATATTTTTTTCTGTATTAGGGTGGACTGCGTAGGGATATTGAAATTGAGGAATGCTGATGTTGAAGCCAGAATAGGAATTGCTGGTTCCAAGAAAAAAAGCACTCGTGCCAGATTGGTTTTTCGAGTTAATATCACGAGGAAAGATGGCTCCACTTTGACACTGCAAACACCCTCTTCTCCAATTTTGTGTAGTAAGTAAGAAGATATGGAGATACTAAACATATGGAGTTTCTTTCATTTTCTGTTAATCTTTTAGACATCTCTAAATTTTAGATATTTCACATACTCCGGCTTGTGATCATGCAAAATTTGAAATATTTTAAAAGCAGTAGTCAGATTTTCTAGACCAAATTAGAGATGAATAATTGGGATACAATTCAAAAGATGTGGAGCATTTTGTAGTTTCCTATTATCATAATATGCTGATTTAAAAAGTAATTTGGGCCAGGTATGGTGGCTCACACCTGTAATCCCAGCACTTTGGGAGGCAAAGGTGGGAGGATCACTTCAGCCCAAGAGTTTAAGACCAGCCTGGGCAATGTAGTGAAAACCCTGTCTCTACAAAATAAAAAAAACATATATAGTAAGTTGGGTGTGATGACTTGTGCCTGTAGTTTCAGCTACTCGGGAAGATGAGGCAAGAGCATCACTTGAGACCCAGGAGGTCAAGGCTGCAGTGAGCCTTGAGCATGCCTTTGCATTCCAACCTGGGCGGCAGACTGTGACTGTCTCAAAAAAAAAAGTAATTTGAGCTGGTTATCAGAAGTAAATTACAAAACGAAAGCGTTTTCTAAACATCTTCACTGTGTGGTAAATTGCTATGGTTCTAACTGTTCTGTGTTAGAACATGAGTAAGGTAAGGAGGACTTTGCGAATAACAACATGGCAGAAGTTTTGATTACTAATTATAATAGTATAGTATAGTGTTGGGAGTGGGAAATTCAATTCTTATCACTAACCTTGGCATGGACAGAAAATGATGTGTGTGTGTTTGTGTGTGTAAATTCAATTATGTTGTTATATATGTCTCACCATAATTGTAGTTTCTCTCTAATGATTATTGTTACAAGTAATAAATAGGAAAATTTTTCCTTTTCACATTTCTCTCTCTCTCTCTTTTTTTTTTTTTTTTTTTCTTTTTTGAGACCGAGTTTCGCTTGTTGCCCAGGCTGGAGTGCAATGGTGCGATCTTGGCTCACGGCAACCTCCACCTCCCAGGCTCAAGCAATTCTCCTGCCTCAACCTCCCGAGTAACTGGGATTACAGGTGTGTGCCACTACCACCTGGCTAATTTTTGTATTTTTAGTAGAGATGGGGTTTCACCACGTTGGCCAGGCTGGTCTTGAACTCCTGACCTCAAACGATCCACCTCGGCCTCCCAAAGTGCTGAGATTACAGGCGTGAGCCACTGCGCTTGGCCTATTTGACCTATTTTTTAAAACAATATATGATATATTACTAAAAATGTTTATATTAATAAGATCAGTCAGCAAATTTGGCAGGCAGTGAAGTTGTTCAAGGCCAGGCACAGTGGCTTACCCCTGTAATCCCAGCACTTTGGGAAGCTGAAGTGGAAGGATTGCTTGTGGCCAGGAATTTGAAACTAGGCTGGGCAACATAGTGAGACCTAACCTCCGCCTCCTAGGTTCAAGCAGTCCTCTTACCACAGCCTACTGAGTAGCTGGGATTACAGGCGTGTGCCACCTTGCCCAGCTAAATTTTTTTTGTATTTTTAGTAGAGATGGGTTTTCACCATGTTGGCCAGGCTGGTCTTGAACTCCTGACCTCAAATGATCCACCCATCGTTCTCTAGCATTCCCCCAACCCCCTTTTTTTTTTTTTTTCCTAAGAATAAGGCTGAGTGTGGTGGCTCATGCCTGTAATATCAGCACTTTGAGAGGCCAAGGCAGGAGGATTGCTTGAGGCCAGGAGTTTGAGACCAGCCCGGGCTGATCTCTCTTCCTGTTTCCTTCTGTCTCCCATTCCAATCCCAGCTCTTCTTACTAACCAACTTTGTTTTCACCTCTCATTTTACTCCAGCTGTTTAAACCTGCCAGAAAGTTTATATTTATGGAAACTAACACAAGCCAGAAACTTATAATGGAAGTGTACTAAACAACATAATGAGAGACCCTGTCTCTACAAAAATTAAAAAAAAAAAAAAGCCAGGCATGGTAGCATGTGCCTGTAGTGCCAGCTACTGAAGAGGCTGAGGCAGAAAGATCATTGAGCCCAGGGGTTTTGAGATAGCAGTGAGCTGTCATCACACCACTGCACTCCAGCCTGTACAAGAGACCCTGTCTCTAAAAAACGAAAAAGGGAAATTGTTCAGATGAGCGCTTTTTAAAAAATTTTTTAATTTATTGTTTCTAGCCTACTTTTTTTTTTTAACAGTTATAATTACTGGAGGCTACAGTTTAGTTCAGGGAAACGGTAATGTGTTCTGATAACAAAATATGCCTCATTGCTCATTCAGTCACTCATTTAGTCAACATAAATTAAATGCAGTGGTTCTCAGTTCTGGGTGTAGGTTAGAGTCACCTGTAGTGCATTACAACAAACAAAAAGACTTGCCAATTGATGGTTTGTTTTTGGAAAGCTTCATAGTTAATTCAATGGATAATTACAGTGTGCTTAACTCTGAAATTAAAGATGATAGTTTGAGGAGCTTACAGTTTAGCAGGCTAGGGGAAAAAACAGGCAAGCAAATGTCTAATTTTACTATAAAATTATATTAACTTCCATATATGTGTATATAAAATTGTATATAGTCCAGGCATGGTAGCTCACACCTGTAATGAGAGCACTTTGGGAGGCCAAGGCAGGAGGGTCGCTTGAGCCCAGGAGTTTGAGATTAGCTTGGGGAACAAAGCAAGACCCTGTCTCTCTTTTTTTTTAATTGTATATAAAAATTATATAAGCTTCCAATTATATTATATAGTTATATAAAGATGCTATACTGCACAGTAGCTGTGTGACTAAAGTACAGTGGAAATATAGTAAGAGCATCTAATTCAGACTGCTCAGAGATGGTAGAACTTGTTCTGTCTTGTCTTAAAACACAATTAGAAGTAAAACAAGTAAAATGGGATTTACTTGAAAAATTTTCATATCTGCCCTTCTATAGTCATTCTGGGCAGAAGGATTCGTATATAAATATGCTCCCTGAAAGGGTATGATCCTTTTGGGGGAAATAAAAAGAGTTTGATGTGATTGGAACAGAAAGATATACATGATGAAGTGGTAAGATTTGAGGTTACAGAGGTAGGCAACACCTCTTTCATAAAGTGACTTGTGTGTTCAGCAAAATAATTTGAATTTTATCCTGACCACTTAGGAAACTTGATGCTTGAACTTAGGCTTTGAGAGCTGGATATGGGAGGAAAAGAAGAATAAACATAAAAATGATACACAGTAAAACACAGAACCCCAAAAATATTTTTATCTAAAAAAATTAAAATGTTTGTTCCATTATAAGTTTCTGGCTTGTGTTTATTTCCATGAATATAAACTTTTCGGCAGGTTTAAGCAGTTGCAGTAAAATGAGAGGTAAAAAGGAAATTGGTTAGTGCGAAGAGTTGGGATTGGAATGGGAGATAGAAGGAAACAGGAAGAGACAGAGGTAGAAAAGGAAAGGGGCCAAAAGGTGACACAGTTGGAAGGGAGAAAAGGAAACAGATACTTGATCTTCCTTCTGTAGACACTCAGTGGAAAGAATTTGTAATATCAGGATTCATGCAGTGCCTTGTGGCTTTAAAAAAATTACTTCTAATTATTGCTTTAACAGTGGCCATTGGATCCTTTGTCTTTTTGTTTGTTTTTAAGGGGATAGATCATCCCTTTTTACATTCTTAACATCTTTCATGTTCTCCAGAAAATATAGGTGTATATGTTTTTTGTTTTGGTATGTATGTTTGTATTATTTTGTTATGTTATATCAAATTAAGAATATCAATTTTCAGCCGGGTGCAGTGGCACACAGCTGTAGTCCCAGCTACTTGGGAGGCTGAGGAAGGAGAATCACTCGAGCCCAGGAGTTTAAATCCAGCCTGGGATTCAAACCCATGTCTTTTTTTTTTTTTTTTGAGACGGAGTCTCGCTTTGTCGCCCAGGCTGGAGTGCAGTGGCACCATCTTGGCTCACTGCAAGCTCTGCCTCCTGTGTTCACGCCATTCTCCTGCCTCAGCCTCCGAGTAGCTGGGACTACAGGCACGCACCACCACGCCTGGCTAATTTTTTGTATTTTTAGTAGAGACAGGGTTTCACCGTGTTAGCCAGGATGGTCTCGATCTCCTGACCTCGTGATCCGCCCGCCTCGGCCTCCCAAAGTGCTGGGATTACAGGCGTGAGCCACCGGCCCGGCAAACCCATGTCTTTAAAAAAAAAAAAAAGAGAAAAAAAAGGCCAGGTGCCGTTGTACACGCCTATAATCCCTGCACTTTGGGAGGGCAAAGTAGGAGGATTGCTTGAAGCCAGGAGTTTGAAACCAGCAAGGGCAACATAGCAAGAGCCCATCTCCACAAAAAACAAATGTTTTGAATTTGCTGGGCATGGTGGCATGCGCCTGTAGACCCAGCTACTTGAGAGGCTATGATGGGAGGATTATTTGAGCCCAAGAGTTCAAGGATACGGTGAGCTATGGTGGCACCACTGCACTCCAGCCTGGGCAACAGAGTGAGGTCTTGTTGATCCTGTCTCTACAAAAGAAAAAAGAAAAAAGAAAAAATTTTCATATCTACCCTTCTATAGTAGTTTTTAATAGGACAAAATTAATCATGGCTTTCTTACATGTAATATATATTAGCTTTTATCTTATGCTTACTAAATTAAATATGACTTGGAATTTAAGAATTTTCTACTTCCCCTATTTCTACCTATCCCACAGCTGTGGGGAAAGGATGGTGTTGTTAAGTAAACTATCCCTCTCTTAAAATTTTGGACAGGATTAGTAATACACATAAACAGATGTAGGCTTTGTACTCTAAAATTTTCTATTAAATATGTCCTTCTACTAAACATTATTACAAAGCTTTATTTATTCTCTTGATGGATTGAAATATTTGCTTACTTATTTTTCAGTATTTAGATATTCGTTATTTTTTTCAACTTTATTTATTTATTATTTATTTATTTTGAGACAGAGTCTTGTTCTGTCGCCCAGGCTGGATGGAGTACAGTGGCAGTCCCAGCTTACTGCAACCTCTGCCTCCCGGTTCACACCATTCTCCTGCCTCAGCCTCCCTAGTAGCTGGGACTACAGGCACCACCACGCCCGGCTAATTTTTTGTATTTTTAATAGAGACGGGGTTCCACCGTGTTAGCCAGGATGGTCTCGATCTCCTGACCTCATGATCCATCTGCCTCGGCCTCTCAGGGTGCTGGGATTACAGGAGTGAGCCACCGCGTTCGGCCTCAACTTTATTTTTAAGACTGCTAGTTGAAAAGCATCTAAAAGTACACAGCTTTTATAATACCAAAAAGGTGGTTGCTTTTTTATGTGTTCTAATTTTTAAGCATTATCCCTTTCAAGAGTCAGCTTGTAAATAACTTGACAGGGCGCAGTGGCTCACGCCTGTAATCCCAGCACTTTGGGAGGCCGAGGTGGGCATATCACCTGAGATCTGGAGATTGAGACCAGCCTGACCAACATGGAGAAAACCCATCTCTACTAAAAATACAGTTCGCCGGGCGTGGTGGTGCATGCCTGTAATCCCAGCTACTCGGGAGGATGAGGCAGGAGAATTGCTTGAACCTGGGAGATGGAGGTTCTGGTGAGCCAAGACTGCACCATTGCACTCCAGCCTGGGCAACAAGAGCAAAACTCCATCTCAAATAAATAAATAAATAAATAAATAACTTAAAAATAAAAGTTAGTGCTTAAATAATCTTGACTTCAGTTCAGTTTAGTATGGCATCTGTCGGGGACCCATCTCGTAAACTTTAAAGAAAGGACCTTTTAAAAGGCCAAAAGCTAAATTATCTTGAAAGTAACAGACTAGTTCTTTCTGTAATGTAAATACAAATATGTAGAAGACAAATATATTCTAAACCTTTGGGGCCTCATTTGGCCATCTTATGCCTTTAACACATAAATGAAAAAAATGAGATACGGGAAAAAGTTTTACCAGTAATAAGTGAAGTGGAATTTCCACACAGTATTTGAAAATGGAGGGAAAGGTTATACGCTTTACATTTCATTGTGGTAATACAACATATTAATGTAATTTTGTACCTTTTATTTTCTTATCAGAACAATATATACCATATGTTTCTGGAATGTTTTTAAAAACCAAGTATCTGTTTCCTGTTACTCCAGAAAGTTACGTTAAATAAACTGATTTAGTTAATTCTTCATTTATTAGGGTATATAATTGTCAGTGTATGACCAATGACCCTTTCCATTCTGTTCACACATTAACCTTGTAGGTTCTAGAAAATACTTGTTTTTTGTATTTTTATTTTTTGTTTATTTCTTTTTTTAGACAGGGTTTCACTTTTGTTGCCCAGGCTGGGGTGCAGTGGTGCAATCTCGGGTCACTGCAACCTCTGCCTCTTGGGTTCAACCGATTCTCCTGCCTTGGCCTCCCGAGTAGCTGGTATTACAAGCATGCGCCAGCACACCCAGCTAATTTTTTGTATTTTTAGTAGACATGGGGTTTCACCATGTTGGCCAGGCTGGTCTCGACCTCCTGACCTCAGGTGATCCGCCCCCGCTTGGCCTCCCAAAGTATTGGGATTACAGGTGTGAGCCAACTCACCCGGCCAGTGTATTTGTTTATACATTCACAATTTCTTTTAAACTCCCCAGCATTGTTGAAAATGTCATTTAGCATATACAAACAGGTTAAGTATCTCTTATCTGAAATGCTTAGGACCCGAAGTGTTTCAGGTTTTGAATTTCTTTGGACTTTGAATTTCTGTGCATATACATAATGAGGTTTCATGGGAATGGGACCCAAGTATAAACACATAATTCATTTATGTTTCATATGCACCTATACACATAGCTTGAAAGTAATTTTATATAATATTTTAAATAATTTTGTGCATCAAAGTTTCAAAAAGCAAAGGTGACAGTGTTCCAGCCACCTTTGTAAACAATCTTTGTAAATAACCTGTTTGGCATCACCATCATTCCTGACTCTGAATTTATTTTTATTTGTTTGCTTTTATATTTTTTGAGATGGAGTCTTGCTCTGTCACCAAGAGTGCAGTGGCACGATCTTGGCTCACAGCAACCTCCACCTCCCGGGTTCAAGAGATTCTCCTGCCTCAGCCTCCCAAGTAGCTGGGATTACAGGTGCCTACCGTCACACCCAGCTAATTTTTTGTATTTTTAGTAGAAACGGGGTTTCACCTGACTCTGAATTTATATGCTACCAGTAAGCAATCCTTTTCTTATACCTCTTCACACATAAGTACTTAACAGTGGTGCAATCATGACTCTCTGCAGCCTTGACCTCCGGGGTTTAAGTGATCCTCCCACTTCAGCCTCCTAAGTAGCTGGAAATTACATGTGCATGCTACCATGCCCAGCTAATTTTTTTGATTTTTTTTTTGTAGAGACAAGGTCTCACTATTGCCCAGGCTGGTCTCGGACTTCTGGGCTCAAGTGATCCTCCATCCTTAGCCTCCCAAAGTGCTGGGATTACAGGTATGAACCACTGCACCTGGCCCAGGTGTATACATTTTTGAGCATTGTATTGACACTCAAAAAGTTTTGGATTTTAGAGCATTTAAGATTTTAGATTTTTGGCTGGGCATGGTGGCTTATGCCTGAATCCCAGCACTTCGGGAGGCCAAGGTGGGTGGATCACAAGGTTAAAAATTCGAGACCAGCCTGACCAACATGGTGAAATCCCGTCTCTACTAAAAATACAAAAATTAGCTGGGCATGGTGGTGTGCGCCTGTAATCCTAGCTACTCAGGAGGCTGAGGCAGGAGAATTGCTTGAGCCCAGGAGGTGGAGGTTGCAGTGAGTCGAGAGCATGCCTCTGCACTCTAGCCTGGGTGTCTCAAAAAAAAAAAAAAAATTTAGATTTTTGGATTAGGGATGCTCAGTTTGTGTTTAACAAAGACGGGATACTTGTTTGTATCAATAGCTGAGGGCTAAATGATACTGCGATAACACACAATTTAAAAAAAGACAACAGAACAAAACTCAGTGTGGCTTACAATAACCGAGTTGGTAAAACCATGTGATGGCTCTCAAAGCTTTTACCTGGACTTGGCACATTACTTCAGTTCATATTTGATTATCCAAACCAGTCACGTGGCCAAGCCTGATGTCAGTGGAGCTAGAATTATAGCCTTTCCAGATAATTGTGTTACTGTAAAAATATTTACTACCCCTCTTTCAAAAAAGACAACTCATAGAACTGGATGACTGCAGGTTGATTTTAAGTAAGAAATAACTTGTGGTGGTTCTTGTTATAGAATGCATATGTATCTCCACAGCTCAGCCAGCAGGAGTGCCAGAAATCTTGAAGAAAAGCTTGCATAGCTGTTCAGTGAAAGGAGAAGAAGAAGTGTTTTTAATCGGCAAGAACTTTCTGAAAGGAACTAAAGTTATTTTCCAAGAAAATGTTTCTGGTAAGTACGCATATTTGTGGTACAGATATTTGCATGTTTTCACTTTGTTATATGGATATAGTCATAGCTACAGAGTAAAAAAAAGTTCAAAAATTTAATAAATCACTATTTTTATTTCAATCAGATGAAAACTCTTGGAAGTCAGAAGCTGAAATTGACATGGAATTATTTCATCAGGTATAATTTAAGCTTTTTTATAATTTGGTTGTTCACTCTCTGAGCAATTCAGTTTTGTTCTGAAATTTTCCTGAATCAGTAGATTAAATTTCTTCTTCTTGTGGGGTTGATGTGAATCATTTAAAGTTTCTTTCTTGAGTTTCTTTAACTGAATTAGAATTTTTTTCCTAATGCTAAAAATGACCACCTCTATTTTAAAAAGTTGAGCATTAGCAAATGTTTCCGTTGTTAATAAACAAAATATTTATTTCCTGATATTTATTTTCTCTGAGGATTTGCGTAATCTTAATCTACTATATAGTTAAATAAAAGGGAAACCAGTATTTTGAGAATCTGTTATGTTTCAGGTGCTTCACGATTGTTAAACATTCTTGGGTTTAGAAGCACTCATCACACTAATATTAAAGAGTCCGTATTTGTAGGACCTCACCATGTATTGTTTTCCAAATAACAATGAAAACTTGAAAACAAGGATCAAGACCTGACTTAGGAATTAGTATTTAGAGTAGACAGGAACAAACCCATAGAAACTGAGACTGAGACTAACAGAAGGCCAAATTTATAAGCAAGTTAGAAGGGCACATGCAGAAGAGGTAGTAGTATGTACAGGTATAGACCGAAGACAGACAGAGAAGAGAGAAACAGGAACAAGCTAATGTGTCAATTACCCAAAGCCTAAAATTTAGTGTAAGAAGCTGATGGGGAAAGAAAAGAACACATGAAGGAAGGTAGAAAAATAGAAGAGGCAAAACTTGGACAATCTATAGCCACTTTATCCAAAAAGTTTATAATTTCCTTGTCGTTTTAAAATTTACTTTTTATTCCTTTGTGTATTTTTAAAAACCTAATAAAATTTAAAACATATATCCAATATTTTGCTAGACTCAAGGCTCCGGGCACAGCCAAGACTGCTCCCACTTCATATACCAGACACAAGTTCAAAGGTCCCCAGGCCACCCTCTTTTTTTGAACAAGTGGCTCAAACAGTGGTTTTCCCACCGTCCCCTTGGATTTGATAACTTCCTAGAACAATTCACAGAACTCTGGAAAGTGCTATAGTTAGTGCCTATCGTTTTTTTTTGTTTGTTTGTTTGTTTGTTTGTTTTATTTTGAGACAGCGTCTTGCTGTGTCGCCAGGCTGGCGTACAGTGGCACGATTTCGGCTCATTGCAACCTCCGACTCCCTGGTTCAAGTGATTCTCCTGTCTCAGCCTCCTGAGTAGCTGGGACTACAGGCACGTGCCACCATGTCCAGCTAATTTTTTTATTTTTAGAAGAGACGGGGTTTCACCATATTGGCCAGGATGGTCTCCATCTCCTGACCTTGTGATCCGCCTGCCTCGGCCTCTCCAAAGTGCTGGGATTACAGGCATGAACCACTGCGCCCAGCCTAGTGCCTATAGTTTTACAACAAAAGGGTAGAAATCAGAATCAGCTAAAGGGAAAGATGCATAACACAAGGTCTAGGAGTGTCCCAGGCACCAACCTTCTGTCATCCTCAGAAAGGCATTACCATATTGGCATAGCAATGTGTGATAATAACAATACTTAGAGAATTACCAGCCAAGGAAGCTCACCCGAGCCTTTGGTGTCCCGAGTTATTATTTCACACCTGATTATATACTGCCCATGCAGCTGACCTTTGGTCTTCACTACGAGGTTGGAATTGATATGGTGTGTTCCAAAGCCTGTTATAAATTACATTGTTAGACTGTCCAGTGACCAAAGCTCTCAAGTAAATACCACTGTCACACAAGACATTGCAGGAACCTAGAGATTACCTCCTAGCAGCCAAAGGTAAAGACCAGAACTCTCTCTGGGTAAAGTTAATTATTTCCTACACAATATCGTATAGTGTGGAGATTCCTATATACCTAGACAAATGCTATGTGGCAAGTTTTCCTCTGGCCTTATGCTACTACATGTTGTGGAAAAGAGATAGTGGGACTTAACAAACATTCCTTTGTCACACAGACCATTGGGCAATATCTCCTAGGGTTTACTGTCAGACTAGTCTTAATTGAAGTTCTAATACCTGCTTTGTCATTAGCAATCTGTGTTAACTAAGTAAGACAAATCACTTTTGTGCCCCAGTTTTCTGATCTGTAAGATAAGTGCTTTCATTAGATTATTTGAGACTCCTCTGACTCTAACATTTTATTATTTCTTATATTATTTGATCAGACCATCTCCACTCCCATGAACCAACAATAGCTTCCTCTGGAGTACTCCTGGAGGTTAGAGGCAATGTATTATAATTCTTCTGTGTTCCTTGTAATACCAAACACTTAATAGATACACAAGAAAAACTTGTTAGTTCATTTTATTCACCTTGAAGAAAAAGATGGGTGACTGTGTGGTCTAAGTAAGGTTCATTTGTTCTTTCTGACGATACTTCAAACCCTAATTTCAGCCAGGTCTTTAAATATCTAGAGTTTTAATCCTAACTGAAACTTAATTTATTCATGCAGTACTTTTGTATGCTATGGACATGTTTTGTTTCTTGACAAATTGGTTAGATTAATGTAGACTCCCTTGCTCGTAATGCTCTATTATGATTGTCATTCTTATGATAAAGATTTATAGATAAGGAGGCTATTTCTGGAGATTGAGAGACTTGCCTTATAAATTATACAAAATATCAATGAAATAGCCCCAACAAATTATAGTATTAACTTGCTATTTTGTATAGAACTTTATATTCATAAGTTATCCTCCCTCCCTACCTCCGTTTTGCTTTCTCTCTCTCTCTTTCCCTTTGAGGCATGGGGTAGTTATATTTTTAAAACACTTTTTTTCAGGGCAGTTATGCCAACTACGGTAGATTAAAGACTAGTAATAATAATAAATAAGACATGTGGTGGAATGGAAAGGAATTATATCCTTATTTGGTGACTATATCTAGAGGTCCTGGGGTTTTTGCAAGCAAGTATGTAAACAAACTAAATCATAATATAATCTGTCATTAATTCTGTGGTTTTGTTCATTTTTATCTTTTTCAGAGAGAGGGTTTTTTTTTTTTTTTCTAAAGGGGTTTTCTTGGAAGCCTTTTCTTTGAGTAGAATCAGAGCTGAGATCCTAGAGAATTGATTCTAGAGATTATATTAAAGGAAGAAAACCCACAAAGTAAACATTTAGGGGGAAGAAAATGTGTTGAGGCTGGGCGTGGTGACTCATACCTATAATCCCAGCACTTTGGGAGGTAGAGGCAGGAGGATTGCTTGAAGCTGGGAGTTTAAGACCAGCCTGGGCAACATAGTGAGATCCTATCTCTACAAAAAATTTAAAACATAGCCAGGCATGGTGGCACATGCCTATAGTTCCAGCTACTTGGGAGGCTGAGGTCGGAGAATCACTTGAGGTCGGAGAATCACTCGAGCCCAGGAAGTTGAGGCTGCAGTGAGCCCTGATTCCACCACTGCACTTCCACCTGGGTGACAGTGAGACCCTGTCTCAAACAGAAAAAAGAAAAGACACTTCGGATGTGATCAGTAAAGAAATATTAGACCTACACAAAAAAGGCTGAAAGGGAATCTCTACAATATTTAAAAATACCCAGCAGATGGTATAGTAGAAAAGACCTTTGAAAGATAATTTCACAAATTGCAATTATGAAAGATTGTAATAGCCATTCAGTTGCAAACCCAAAATCAATTCGTCAGGTATTACACTTTTTCTGTTACAATATTATAAGTATTGCCAGGCACATGGCTCATGCCTGTAATCCCGGCAGTTTGGGAGGCCGAGCCAGGTGGATCACCTGAGGTCAGGAGTTCGCGACCAGCCTAGACAATGTGGTGAAACCCCGTCTCTACTAAAAATACAAAAATTTGCTGGGTGTAGTGGCATATGCCTGTAATCCCAGCTACTTAGGAGGCTGAGGCAACAGAATCACTTGAACTCAGGAGGCGGAGGCTGCAGTGAGCTGAGATCACGCCATTGCACTACAGCCTGGGCTACAGGAGTGAAACTCCATCTCAAAAAATATATATATATAAAAAAAGTATTATAAATATTGAGACTAATGAAATCTGGGAAAACAATTCTTTGTTCAATATTTGTGGTCCATAGTATACCTCGTGCTCATGTATACCAAATGTGATGGGTACATGGTCGTTCATTATATCTATTCCCTTTTTAGATGAGTTATATATAACATTGATTACCTATTAAAATATGTATATAAAGGGATATTCAATCTATATATACAAATATACATAAAAGGATAGCTCAAGGGAAGATGGTATAAATGTGGAAAGAAAATTCTTGAAAGAAGTACAAAAAAAAGATCCTCAGAAGAATCTGTGGGAACAACTAAACAAAGATGTGAAAACTTGGAGGTTATGTTGTTCAAATTGGTTCTAAGAGTAATTTTGTAATGGGTCTTTGGTTAAGTCTAATTGTAGATAGTCTAATTATATATATTCCCAACTGTAAAATTAATGTGACAAAAGAAAAAGTATCTTATAGAAGAATCAAAGATATCTAGCACCATTGCTGGTACACTCTGAAAAAGATTATCTGCTAGGGAAAAAGCTATTTTGAATCTAAGCAGATTTTTCTAAGAAATTAAAATTCAATTATTTTCCTCTTTTTATCCCGAAGAGCATTATACCTGCTCCCAAGGCCTCCCAACCTTTTGTATGTTTTGTATGTATTGTATTCCTAGCTCAGTGATATTTAATTGATTCTAATTTATGAGAGGGTATTAAAAATAACTTTTGATCACTAGTCACAGTTTACTGAATTTTTAATTCAGATCAGTTGTAGAATTTCTAGATTCAGATTGAGGAAGTTTGAAGAATTAGCAGCAAAATAGGTTCATTTGGTTTTTTAAAGCTTTCAAAATCAGTTTTACTTAAATGTGCTCTCCAAAGCAAGTAGAGTAAAAGTATTTTGATAAAATATGCATCTGATCTGTAGACACTAATCCTGTTACTAATTGCCAAGAAACAAGTTTTTATTCAAAAGAATAATTTGAATTATGGAGTTTGCCAAATAATTTTAAGAGTGGAAGCTCTCACAGGCTCTTCCTTCACCCATCTCCTTAACTCTAGGTAGACTGTTTCTGTGACATAGTTGTAGTGTTTAAACAACAGAGTAAAAATGAGGGTAGACAAGATTCAGTAACTCTGTTTCTTAGAAGTTGGATCAATACCAGTGCATTTTTTTATGACCTTGTATGTATTCAGATTTAGCTCCTGCTTCATAACTGTGGATGTATGCATATTTGTACATGTTTTTCCACCTCGTTGAAAAAAATGTGGTTTTTTCTAGATGGCTAACTTAGGAGGCATTCTGTTAATGCCGTAAATTAGAAGCTAGTTCTTTTTTTTTTTTTTTAGAGACAGAGTTATGCTCTTGTTGCCCAGGCTGGAGTGCAATGACGCACTCTTGTCTCACCGCAACCTCTACCTCCTGGGTTCAAGTGATTGTCCTGCCTCAGTCTCCTGAGTAGCTGGGATTACAGGCCTGTGCCACCACGCCGGGCTAATTTTGTATTTTTAGTAGAGATGGGGTTTCCCCATGTTGGTCAGGCTGGTCTCAAACTCCTGACCTCAGGTGATCCGCCCACCTCAGCCTCCCAGCTAGTTCTGTTTATTATTTATTTATTTTGAGACGGAGTTTCGCTTTTGTTGCCTAAGCTGGAGTGCAATGGTGCGATCTTGGCTCACTGCAACCTCCACCCTCCGGGTTCAAGCGATTCTTCTGCCTCAGCCTCCCGAGTAGCTGGGATTACAGGTGTGTGCTACCACAGCTGGCTTATTTTTTGTATTTTTAGTAGAGATGGAGTTTCGCCATGTTGGCCAGGCTGGTCTCGAACTCCTGACCTCAGGTGATCTGCCCACCTCGGCGTCCCAAAGTATTGGGATTACAGGCGTGAGCCACTGCGCCCGGCCTAGTTCTTTATTTGTAATGTGACTGTATTTCAGAGAGTGTTTTAAGATGGCTCAGAAACAAATTAAATTCTCAGAAATGGAAACCTTGACCTTGATCTAATTTGTCCCATGTTTTCTATTCAACTGAGTCAACAAACTATATAGTCTAACTAAATTTTAAATGTCATCAAACTCATATCACCCTCAGCTGTCAGCTTCGGCCTCCTACAAATCAGATCATTAGTAAAAAAGCATAATCACTGCCCTATGATATCCCCTACCATTATAATAATGTACTAGGGAAGAAGAAAAAAAGTCAAATATGGCTCATATTACCCTCTAAGAAGATATAGTCCCCTTGAGTTAAGTACTGGTGAAACATTAAGAACTCTACCTTTCTCTTATAAGAATGCTTCCGCCACTATTGCAACTAAAAACATCTTTGGTTTACTGAGATGTGGATAAACTGAATCCAGTTTGACTTAAAATGAGAATTATGTTGTTAGGAGTAGCGAACTGCATTGTGAAATACATCTCACATTGAGGTTGTACAGAACATATGGTAACTGACTTTGCCCTTGGTGGGCATATTTTTTTCTAATAATGTATTCATTCTTTTATTCAGTATGTACCTTATGTAAGATACTATTCTTTACAAGTGAGACAGAGTGAAGAACAAAACAACCTAGATCCTCATGGAGCTTACATTCTTGTGTTTGGAGAGAGACCAAAAAACAAGCAAATAGGGTAATTTCAGGGGTGATGATAAGTGCTGTTATGGAGATAAACAATATTATATTATAAGGTTGGGGAAGGGTTTTGCTTTAAATAGAATGATCAGGGAAGGCTTCTCTGAGGTGACATTTGTATCTGACCTGATAATGGGTTAGGAACTCACCATTTGAGGAGGTGAAGAAAGAATATTGCAGTTGAAGAGAATAGCAAGTATAGAGAATCTGAGGTAAAACTGAGTTTAGCATGTTAAAAGAAGGGACTGAGGTCAGTGTGGCTACAGTATAGTGAACTAGAAGAGGAGGAATGAGATGAAGTTGACAGGGCAGGGATCTTGACCTTGTAAGCCATTGTAAAACACTTGGATTTTACCTTTAAAGCAGTGTTAAGATTAATATTCTGATGCCTGTGAACCTGAGCTTTAAAATAGATTATTTTATTTTAATCACTTTTTAAACTTTACAGCTAACAGGAAATATACTTAATTAAAAAATTTTAAATGTAAGTGTTGCTTCTTTTCCAACTCGTGTACTTTTCTTTACATTAGAATCATCTTATTGTGAAGGTTCCCCCCTATCATGACCAACATATAACTTTGCCTGTGTCAGTGGGAATATATGTAGTGACGAACGCTGGAAGATCTCATGATGTTCAACCATTCACTTACACTCCAGACCCAGGTATGTCAAAATGAAAAATTCAGAACTAAAACGAATAGTTAATTTCCAGTTTTTTGAAAGAATATGAAGAAGACTGGCCATCTCAAAAAGAAAGTTGCTCACTAAGATGAATTAATGTTAGTTTATTTTGGAAATGGCATTATTTTCTAAGAAGACAGCCACCAAATACTGCTTTTACTCTTATGTTAAGGAATCATTTCTACCTTACATTATAATAATAAAAGCCAGTAATGCTCTGAAGTCAGATTCTCTGAAACTATCTTACAGGTTACTCCTCCATAAGAATTTCCATGCATTGACTACTACTTATGTGCAGAAACATGAAAGTGACAACTTTGGGAAATTGCTAACAGTTTAGTTTGGCTGGTTTATAGGGTACATTTTGAGACAGGAGATAAACTAGAGTGACAAGTGATAAAATAAAAAATCTCATCAAAGACTGATAGTGAATAAATATTTTTTTCTTTCTATATTGCCCCATAATACCTGATAAATATTTTAAATATAACTTTAAGTGGTTGTGTTAAAATGGTATTTTAGGCTGGGTGCGGTGACTCACGCCTATAATCTCAGCACTTTGGGAGGCCGAGGCCGGTGGATCACTTGAGGTCAGGGTTTTGAGACGAGGCTGCCAACGTGATAAAACCCTGTCTCTACTAAAAATACACACAAAAAAATTAGCTGGGTATGGTGACAGGCGCCTGTAATCCCAGCTACTGGGGAGGCTGAGGAAGGAGAATTGCTTGAACCCGGGAGGTACAGGTTGCAGTGAGCTGAGATTGTGCCATTGCACTCCAGCCTGGGTGATAGAGCAAGACTGTCTCAAAAACAGAAAACAAAACAAAACAAAAACCTGATATTTTAGAAATTAGAGGAGCTAATTTTTTTTTTTTTTTTGGTGGGGAGGAGACGGAGTCTCGCTCTGTCGTCCAGGCTGGAGTGCAGTGGCGCGATCTTGGCTCACTGCAACCTCCGCCTCCTGGGTTCAAGCTATTCTCCTGCCTCAGCCTCCCGAGTAGCTGGGACTACAGGCGTGTACTACCATGCCCAGCTAATTTTTGTTTTTTCAGTAGAGACGGGTTTCTCCTTGTTTCACCGTGTTAGCCAGGCTGCTTTCAAATTCCTAACCTTGTGATCTGCCTGCCTTGGCCTCCCAAAGTGTTGGGATTACAGGCGTGAGCCACCACGTCCGACCCTAAAATGTTAAAAGTTTAGAAGATATCTGTTTATGAAGTGTCTCACAAGTTTGCCTGCATTCATTTAGATGCCTGAAAAAAGAAAAAAGCCTCCTTTTGGCAGAAATGGGGAGAACATTTTGGAAATGGAAACTCTTTGCATGCTCCATTGACCTAGGCTTGGCTTCTGCCATGTTTACCATTGGTTCAGTTCAATCCAGTCTCAGGCATACTTCAGAATTAGCAGTTCTTCTCTATCTGTAGTTTATTAGTATGTTATTTCCATATAGTTCAAGATCCAGTGAGGTAGAAGGTAAAGAAAGGTGACAGAGAAAGAAAGCCCTGGCATCAAAAAGTGAAGAAAACAGTAGCTAGGACAGAATTACAACTAGTTTAAGTTAATTGCTTTCTATCACTTAATTTTTCTATTTCCTATTTTCTTTCCTTTTTGAGATGGAGTCTTGTGTTGCCCAGGATGGAGTGCAGTGGCGTGATCCCAGGTCACTGCAACCTCCGCATCCCAGGTTCAAGCGATTCTCCTACCTCAGCCTCTCATGAGTAGCTGGCACTACAGGCATGCACCACCATGCATGGCTAATTTTTGTTAGTAGAGACAGGGTTTTGCCATGTTGGCCAGGCTGGTCTCAAACTCTTGACCTCAGGTGATCTGCCCGCCTCAGCCTCTCAAAGTGCTGGGATTACAGGCGTGAGCCAGCACTCCCAGCCTATTTTATTTTTAATCATATCTGAATTTTGCAGCATTATTTTCTACTAATTTGCTGCAAAAGGTATGCCACAGTACAGCACTGTTAAAATACCTCTTGAAGGCCTGGAGTGGTGGCTCACGCCTATAATTCTAGCACTTTGGGAGGCCAGGGCAGGCGAATCACTTAAGGCCAGGAATTCAAAACCAGCCTGGCCAAAATGGTGAAACCCTCTTTCTACTAAAAATACAAAAATTAGCCAGGCGTGATGGTGGGCACCTATTGACCCAGCTATGTGGGAGGCTGAGATAGGAGAATCTCTTGAACCCAGGAGGTGGAGATTGCAGTGAGCCAAGATCACGCCACTGTAGTCTAGCGTGGGCAACAGAGTGAGATTTTGTCAAAAAACAGAACAAACAAATTAAAAAAACCTTGATATTTGTCTCAGAATTAAAGATCATGTGTAAAAACTTTGGACCAAAAAGGCAAAGTTTAGAAATAATATCCTGGCTTCAACAAAAATAGGAGAAAGAAGATTGGCTTATTCTCAAAGACCAAATATTTTATTGTTTCCTTTCTAGGAAGGCTTCAAACATCTAAGGAAATTTGATGTAAAATTAATAGTTGGCCGGGCACAGTGGCTCACGCCTGTAATCCCAGCACTTTGGGAGGCCAAGGCAGGCGGACCACGAGGTCAGGAAATTGAGACCATCCTGGCTAACACGGTGAAACCCCGTCTCTACTAACAATACAAAAAAATTAGCCGGGCCTGGTGGTGGGCACCTGTAGTCCCAACTACTCGGGAGGCTGAGGCAGGAGAATGGTGTGAACCTGGGAGGCAGAGTTTGCAGTGAGCTGAGATCGCGCCACTGTACTCCAGCCTGGGCGACAGAGTGAGACTCTGTCTCAAAAAGAAAAAGGGGGGAAAGAAAATTAATGATAGTTAAAGCATTTTAGTAACTGTTAGTTACTAAATATTGACATTTAATGTTTTGCAGGAGCTTGCACAAACATGAGAAGAGAGATGGTATAATTAATACATAGGATTTTTTTCCTGATGAGCTTCTGCATCAGTTGTGTTGGAAGGGAAAGGTGTTTATGTCAGGGAATAGCCTTAAAGGTTTTGCTATCCTGAAAACACTGAGATTTTCTTGTCTTCACTTGTTTCTTTGTTTTTATTGATTAATTATAGAGACTTCAGGACTTTGAAGTACTTAGCATCAACATTAAGAATCCTCATTTCTTAGTGATAAATGCTAATTATTAAAAATTGCCCTTTGATAAATTGCTGAATAAACAGCTTTTAACTATTCTACTTCAAAGGCTATACTAATTGCCTAATTTTGGCCATTCTTAGGCAATCATTACCATATGTTTGCTCTTTCAAGTTTTTCCCCACATATTTTGTATGTTACAGATAGCAATCACTCTTAGAAAACCTTGTTTGAAGAAATACAAGGTATGCAAACTTTCTAATACAATCTAATGCCTTAGCTTCTGCCTCTGTGATACAGCTAATTAGCCTTCCCGCAGTTTTCCTTTTTTTTTTTTCTTTTGAGATGGAATTTTGCTCTGTCACCCAGGCTAGAGTGCAATGGCGCGATCTCGACTCACTGCAACCTCCACCTCCCAGATTCAGGCGATTCTCCTGCCACAGCCTCCCAAGTGGCTGGGACTACAGGTGCCCACCATCACACCTGCCTAATTTTTGTATTTTTAGTAGACACAGGGTTTCACCATGTTGGCCAGGCTGGTCTCTA